CTCTTCTTCCTCCTCCTCCTCCTCCTCCTCCTCCTCTTCTTCTTCTTCTTCTTCTTCTTCTTCTTCTTCTTCTTCTTCTTCTTCTAGAAAGCGGGAAATGCTACCTGTTGACTTTGCATCATCTGTGCTTGGAGGGTTGCCAGCTTCCAGGTGCCACCTGGAGATCTCTCAGGATTACAACTGATCTCCAGACAAGAGAGATCAGTTCCCCCGGAGAAAATGGCTGCTTTGGAGGGCGGGCTCTATGGTGTCGTACCCTGCTGAGGTCCCTCCCCTCCCCGGGCTCCACCCCTGAAATGTCCAGGAATTCCCCAACCTGGAGCTGGCAACCCTATATCGTGTTGGCTTCAGCATGTGAAAATGTGTGTGTGTTTTAAGCAGGGCTTTTTTCCCCCCCTGGGGAAATGTGCCAGAACAGAGATCCGGAACGTCTTCGACAAGATTGTTTTAACAATGTTTAAAAGTTTGTGAGTTTTCAGTATACAGACTGAAATCTTCATTCCCCCCTCGAGAGTTTCCTCTAAGCAGAGTTAGCGTGAGCTAGCTCACAGTTTTCTAGCCTTTGGCTCACACACAAACTAATTTACGCAGCAGACAAATCGCTCGCTCACAACTTTAATGCCAGTAGCTCACAAAGTAGAATTTTTGCTCACAAGACTCCACAGCTTAGAGGGAACACAGGTTCCGACACCTCTTTTTCACACACACACACACACACACACAAGCCCTGGTTTTAAGAGGTAATGCGACCCACCCATCTGCCCCCTGAAGTGGCAGCCACTGTGAAGCAGTGAAATGTGGATCTCTGAGCAGACTCTCTTTTGTTTTGCAGAAAGGCCTCTGTCTGTCCTTACAATTTAAAAGTGACTGATAGCCGTAATAAGACGACGACCGTCAATTATGTCCATGACACTCTGTCAAATGCCCATGGCTGGATGGCCATCCTCCTGGATCGGGAGACGTATACTCTGTCATTTGACAGCCCTCTGGCCAATGCGAATCTACAGGTAAGGCAGGAGAGCTCCTCATCCCAACTGTATGGTGCATTGTTGGCATTGTGCAAAGACTGAGAAATTTTCCGCACTAGCTTTTTTCCTCCCCAGGCGCAAACCCACAGTTTTCTCCTCCTTACCCCCACATTTTCAGAACTCGCTAAAACTGGGGGTTCCGAAAACGTGGGGTAAGGAGGAGAAAATTTCGGGTTTGTGCCTGGTGAGGAAAAATCTACTGCAGAAAACTTCACCTAATGCACAGTTTTAAAAACTTCAATGCTGGGATTTTTCACTACTGTGGAAATGGGGAGGGATAGGGAAAATCCAGAGTGAAAATACTGTATAATTTCGTTTAATCTCAAGAGAGGGATCTTCTGTTTGGAGAGGTCAGATATAGAGGTAGTTGGATCAAGGTGGGTAGCCATGTTAGTCTGTCTTAAAGCACCTTAAAGGTAAAGGTTCCCTTGCTCGAAAGCCAGTCGAATCCGACTCTAGGGTTGCAGTGCTCATCTTCGTTTCCAAGCCGAAGAGCCAGCGCTGTCCGAAGACTTTTCCGTGGTCATGTGGCCGGCATGACTAAACACCAAGGCGCACGGAACGCTGTTACCTTCCCACCGAAGTGGTCCCTATTTATCTACTTGCAATTTCTTGCTTTCGAACTGCTAGGTTGGCAGGAGCTGGAACTAGAGACGGGAGCTCACTCCGTCATGCGGCACCCGGGTCTCGAACTGCTGAACTACTGACCTTCCACAGCCTGCAGTTCAGCGTCTTAACCACTTGAGCCACCACAGCTCCTAAAGCACCTTAAAGGCTAACAAAATTTGTGGCAGGGGATGAGCTCTTGGGAGTTTCTGCCCACTTCTTCAGATGCCTGTATCTGTAGCTGTGACTCGCGAAAACTCATACCCCGCCACAAATTTTGTTTAGTCTTTAAGGCGCTACTGGACTCTTGCTCTTTTCTAGAGGTAGTTGGAGTTATTTATACAGATAATTTATGTTTAATCACATGAACGCATGAAGCTGCCTTATACTGAATCAGGCCATGGCTCCATCAAGGTCAGTATTGTCTACCCAGAGAGGCAGCGGCTGTCTAGAATCCCAGGTAAGAGGTCTTTCACATCACCTACTGCCTGGTCCTGTTTTAACTGGAAATGCTGGGGACTGAACCCGGGACCTTCTGCATGCCAAGCAGATGCAGCAGAGGGACCATACTGGAAAGTGTCTACTACCTTGTTTCAGAATGTATGCTTTATTAAGTGCATTATTTCGGCTGCGGTCACAGGTACAAATAATCCACTTTCAAACCACATTCGGTGCATTAGTTGCTGTAGATTTTCCGGGTTGTGTGGCCGTAGTCTTGGCATTGTAGAACATGACGTTTCGCCAGTAGCTGCGACTGGCATCCTCAGAGGTATAACACAGACAGATGGAGTACTCTCTGTGTCAAGGTGTCAGTGGGGGTCATAGCCAGTGTTCCCTCTAAGCTGAGTTAGTGTGAGCTAGCTCACAGTTTTTAAGCCTCCGGCTCACACATTTTTGTCTCAGCTCAGGAAGGATGGCTCTAGAACACACTAATTTATGCAGTAGCCAAATCACCTGCTCACAACTTTAATGCCGGTAGCTCACAAAGTAGAATTTTTGCTCACAAGACTCCACAGCTTTGAGGGAACATTGGATAGCACCCCTGGATTCTATGATGGAGACCCCAGCTCTAAGTCATAGGACCACCAACCACTGAAGAGGACTCCATCTTCCTGTGTTATACCTCTGAGGATGCCAGTCACAGTTACTGGCGAAACGTCAGGTTCTACAATGGCAAGACTACGGCCACACATCCCGGAAAATCTACAGCAACGAATGAACTCTGGCCGTGAAAGCCTTCGACAACATATTTAACCTCTTGTTGTTTGCAAACAACCTGTGAAGGTCACTATTATTCCTGTTTTATATATGGAAATGTGTGAGTGCAGAATACTTACTGCCCTGACTATCCCTGACTCAGCCACAATTTTGAGCCCACATTTCACATTCACCTTGTTCAGGAACATCATGTGAAGTAACTAATTAGCACTAGTAAAGTGTTTATCTGTCTGAAGAGAAATACATTCCACCTTAGTAAAGAGATTCTAAATTATGATGCCAATAGCTGTTCTGGTTTGATCAGAGAATGACTAATTCCACTCTCACAACTAAAATGGATGACCCTCAGAATGATGTTAATAGAATGCCTCTTTCCCACAGTCCAACTTATCCAAGCTTCATTCTGAAGCCCTTTAAGAAATCACTATAGTTCAAAGCCTTCCTCATTTTATCATTTAATTGTTCAGTATTTTAAAGTCAGGCAATCTGTCTATCAAATCGGAAACGTCGGCAGTTTCCTTCCTCGGTGCATGTTCCCGGCGTGCTTCAACGACGCAAGAGGAGCACGCTGGAGAGTCCGTCAGTGGCCCGTCGCAACCCATTTAAGCCAATGCAGCACTGACTGCAGAGTCACCCCTAAACGGCCATAAAGCGGCCATAAATCTATGCAGACGGCTACCGTAAAACCAGGAGATCAAACAAAGTGAAAAGCCCATGCAGTCTGGACACCGCCATAGAATCCGACCATCAATCAAAGTGAAAGTGGCATGCAACGTAGGGGGGAATTTCTGTTCCAGCGTGGGTTGGGTGAAACAGCGGAGCAAATGCTAGATGTAGATTAGGCCTTAGAGTGTGGGACCACAGCCTTTGATGCGTTTATTAACAAGGGTCCCGGTCACACGTGCCGGGAAATGCGGGGGGGGGGGGGTGTGGCTTTTTGCGCTGGCACAGTGTGTCCTGCTGCAAACGCGATCAGATGCGACGGCAGTTTCCTTCCTCGGCGCACGTTCCTGGCGTGCTCCAACGACGCAAGAGGAGCGCACTGGAGCGATCACACAAAGAGAGTCCGTCAGCGGCCCGTCGCAAGCCATTTGCTAGTGGACTTTACAAGGTACCTTTTTACTCCGCATCTTTGGCCGGCTGCGACGGGTGCGCTACGCTGGCCAGATGTTGCTGTGTGATCGTGCCCTTATAATCCATCCAGAATTCGTGCTGCTCCCACGGCAACTTCTCCATCTGATCGGGGCCAAGAACATGTTTTTGAATCAATGGCTTACCTAGGAGTCAAACGTAGCATTCCTCATTCTTGAACTGGAAAAGAAAATAGGAGAAGCTTGTGAGATTTTTTTATGTGTGCTGGCGACATTATTGCTAGACAATATATGTTTTACAAAGTTTCAGACAATACTTTATACAGGAGTGACTTTCCAGGATATGAATGTTCATGATGGTTTTCTTCTCCAGTATGTGGCGACATTTGATAACTTTACTGCTGGGAATTATTTACTGGTTTGTGAGATTTTTTTTTTTGTACTGGTGACATTATTGCTAGACAAAGGAACGTCCCTTTTGCTGCTTCTGTTCTGCTTCTCCTCTTGTATGTTTTACAAAGTTTCAGACAATACTTTATACAGGAGTGACTTTCCAGGATATGAATGTTCATGATGGTTTTCTTCTCCAGTATGTGGCGACATTTGATAACTTTACTGCTGGGAATTATTTACTGGTGACACATGAAGGCCTTTCACCCCATATCAATGTCACGGTGACCTGTGAGACAAGGCCAGGATCACCATTTCAGTCACTTCCTGCACATAGGTCTAACAAAAGCTGTGACTGGGTGTTCAATCAGGAACAGAGGAAGCTAAGCTACTTAGGTAAGACCAAGTAACACACACTTTTTTTGTCTTATTAATATCTCTAAGCAGGGTTCGTTTCGTTGAAAAAAGGGTGCAGGAGCTCATTAGCATAACTTATTTGCATATGCCACACCCCCTGACATCACCGGAAGTGTGTCAGAAGGCAACACCCACTGCTTAGGCTCCACTGGACTGTTCTGGATTGCTAGCTATTGGGTGGGGATCTGCCCTCACAGAGGAAGGAGATTGTTTTGGATTGGTATCTATCTGTTTTGGATTGCTAACTATGGGGAAGCTCTGCAACTTACCTGGATGCTTCTTGCTCCTCGTGTCCCAGGGCTGCTGGGAGCAGGGGGCAGGGCTTGTTGCATGTGCCCACCCTCTGGGCTCTTTACTACCGGAGCTCCGCTCCTGTGCGCTCCTGCAGGAAATGACCCCTGTCTCTAAGGCAGGGCTCCCAAAAGTTTTTGAGCCTGTGAGCATGGTGGGCGCAGCCACAAAATGGCTGCCACAGCTTACCTTCACGTACACAGTAAACATCCTTGTTAGGGTTGCCAGGAGCTGGAGGTCTCCCCTGACATGCTGACGTCACCAGAAGTGATGTTGCGTGCCGTGGCTACGTCACCCGGAAGTAATGTAGGCACGTCTGGGTGACGCTCTGGTTTTTGGGGCAAAACTCTATGGTAAAATTGCCCTCAAACCATAGAGTTTTGCCCCCAAACCAGAATGTCCCCCCCGACGTCACTATTACATGTCTACGTTACTTCTGGGTGATGTAGGCACATTGCATGATGTCGCCATTGGGGGGGCACTTACTTCTGTGGGCCAGCTGGCCAGTGGCCGGCAGGAGCCCACAGAACCTGGCAATGCCCCACCCCCAACTGGGGAATGGCAACCCTGATCCTTGTGCTGTATTTTTAAAAGTCTGCACAGCCAATCAAATCTCCAGTGGTCAGTCAGATGTTTTACTGAGCAAAAGCCCCACCTCACACCACCAGCTTTCTCAAAACATGTGGCAGGCTCCAGGAAAGGGGTCAGTGGGGGGCATAGCCCCCCTGAGTACTACGTTGGGGACCCCAGCTCTAAGGCATAGGACCAGCGACCACTGAAGAGGAACAACAACACCCAGTCCTAGGCATCGTTGGGGGATGTAAAAACGCCATCCAGCGGTGTTACAAAGCTCAAGGCAAGCTTCCCCGTACTTCTTCCTTTCCCTTGCCAGATCGAAACTGACATTACTTCCTCCTCCCTTAATCCACTCCTGCCTTTGATTGGCTTTGGAAACAGGAGATTATGTATGGTTTTTATGCCTCAGGGGAGAAGTGGAAAAGAAGAAAACTCTCTCTTTCCAAAAACAGGCTAGGATAAAAAATTGTGTACTGAGGATGGGCATCGGTGTGTTTGCTTGCTTGGGAGGCTGCAATTTAACAAAGCAAACAAACAAAACCCTTAATAGTCCTTACTTAATG